TGTATTGTAAAGTTGTGTGAATTTTTCAATAAATTCTTTTGTCAAAACCACTTGCAATCTGATGCATAGCTGAGCGCCTTGCCGCCGGTTACATGTAGGAATTGGTCTAATCTGACTGAGCTAGAGAAAAGACTCAATATGCATGATGARTGGCCATTTACATATTATATAGTTATGCGCCATGACAAGGGGGCGTCATGACCATTATTTTTGAGATCCAAAAAAACGTCAAAAGCACCAATGGGTCCATCCCTCCACCTACAGCAATGAACAATTATTTCATTGGAAGGTGAAGTTATTGTTGATGAATATTTACAGAGCCAGTAGTCTTTGGGCAGCTAAGGCAAATCTTCACAATAACCACTGAACTTTAGATGAATAATTGTTTTTGTATGATTTTATTCTTGAATATCAGAGGGGGGCTAAAAAATCCAGGATAAAAAAAATGATGGTATACTTTCCGCTCGGGCAAATTTTGGAAAAGATCATAATCACCTCTCGAGCAGTGATTATCATCTCAGAATCAGTGGTCGCTTGACCAATCACAGCACATAAAACTCTATATTCAAGTCTCTAAAATCATACTAATGACCGGATAATGACTTGTCTCCTAGTGAATAAAGTCTCACCTTCTGCTTTGAGTTCTGCAATATTATTTTGGTGTTCATAGAGAAGATGTTTCACTTTTTGTTTATAGACTTTGATCTCTACTTGATGTCTTTCCTCAGCCTCCTCCATCTCCCTGTCCTTGTTCCTAAGCTCTGCTTTTGTTTCTTCATGTTGCCTCTTAGTGATTTCCCAAAATGTGTTCACTTTGTCCCGCTCTAGTTGGAAATAGTTTCTTTCTTCTCTCTCTCGGTCTAATTCTTCTCTTAACCTAACAATGTGTTCCTCAAGCTAAAATAAACATTGGGAATGTGGAAATGATATTTAAGTAATTTTGTGATTGAAAGGTATGGCTAATAATAATAACTTTTTAATATTTATAAAGCACATATCTCATATGCATATGCTCACATGCGCGTAATGAATATTAACTGAGAGAATACTCCATTTTAACATTTCCATTCAGTGACCACGAATAATAGTTCCTAGCCGAGGCTGGAGTTACCGTGCATGATAAACTGTAGTTTTGCTACTGTATATGTGGAAACTCCAGCCCCAGCTAGGAAATATTAATCATGTTCAAAGAATGGAACTGTAAAAAGAAGTATTTTAGGTATCTGGTATAATATATGCCTACTCAGTGTAGCAAATGCAAAAGAAGAAATAAGACAGGGCTTAAAATAATGGCTTGTCATCATGCAGCCAATGTCCTGCCAGAATTGAAAAACTTGTCCAGTCAACTGTTGACTTGTCAGTCATCTTGGCCAGTAATATATGTCGAGCTAAAAATCATTTGTCTTGTGATCATGACCAGTGACTGACCATCAATTATATCACCAGCATCTGTCCCACATTTTGCACTATGCACTTGGTTGCTTAGACATCAAAGCACCTTCGGGGTTTTTAATATTATTTTATGATCGATGGGATACTATTGACAGTTTAGAAGACTTAGTGATCTAGACTTGTGTCTGGCAAGAACAAGTGGCAATGAAATTGGGGGTCTTCTAGCTACATGTACATTTATAAGCTGCCATAACTCGATGTTAACATGTATACCTGTTCCTTGGACATTTCTTCGGTGCTTATACCATCTACGATGGTGGGTGTCTTTGACTTCGCTGACTTCTTTTTTCCCTTCTTTTTCCCGCTCTTCTTCTTGGGAGGCTGAAAATATCAACACATGCCTCCATTAGCTGAAACCAAATGTCTTAAACAACAATCTTTCTTCACGGCTTTACTTAAAACCGTTCAAAATGTCATCCAAAAAGGATAATTATATCTATTTCATTTATTTTGAGAAGGAAAGTTTCAAATACGGGATAGAAAAATTGTGTTGTAACTTTTCAACGTCCCTTTTGATGGAGAAAGACGACAGACTTCCAAACAGAAGCTGAGATAAACGTGAGAAATTCACTAATAAAAGACGACCTTTTTTACGAAAGACTTAGCTAGAGCACCTTTAATTTACTTACCATCTTGTCGAGCTATTCAGTTAAAAATTCCAAGCTTAAAATAATGATAAAAATTCGTTTTTCTTGACGAGTATCGAGTTTTTCTTTACTCTGTCGAAGTAAATATGGCGATCAGTATACTTGTTGTCATGGTAACAAGAACATCAAGGAAATGAAGTCCCGGATGTTAGTACCGCTGATCATCCAAAGCTGTAACCTTGGGCGCAGTTCCTTTACGGCTGTTTTGAATTTGTAAGGGAGGGGAGGGAGAAAGTAAAATTTTGATCTTAAAGAAGAGCATTGATTAAAAAWATATATATATTATCCTTGACGTTTTCGTAATGCTGAAGTGTAGCTTAGACGATTAAACTGAATAACAGAGACGTTTGAAATAGTTTTTGTTGGTATTTTAGCTTTTTTTGAGTGCGAGTTTTTACCACCCCTCCCACTGAAAGTCTAACATACACACAGTCAAGGCTCCTTGGTTCTTTACAGAAGTCACGAGGACTTCACCTGAAACTTTTAAAAGAACTTTTCCATTCATCTTCAAAATTCTCATCCTGACTCGGGCTTACCTCTATACGCCGCAAAAATTCACGGGAAATATAGTCCCCGAAGTAAGCAAGATGAACGGTGTTTTTGTATTTTTCGTTGTAGTTGTTGCTGTTTTCCATGGCGTCAAGTCAAAGCCAGTTGTAGAGGAAGATGCCCAGGCGTTTCGTTTTGCCAACATTTACGGAGATCACATGGTTCTGCAGAAAGCTCCAAACCATGCAGTCGTTTGGGGCTTTGGGGAAGTTGGTCAGCAAGTTAAAGTTGAACTATCTGGCAAGGTGTACGAGACACAAATTACTCCAGGTATAGTTTATGTGTAAAGTGATTGCCTGCAAAAATTGCTCTCCTTTAAATTAACATAGCTCCCCACCAGCCCTTAAATGAATGCTCTTTTAGAGGCTGCATGGAGGTAAAAACAGTGTTTAGATTTTAACTTAAACTTTATTAAGGAATAGTGCCATTTCATGTATAGTCTTACATGAAGTAGTAAGGTGAAGAATCTTGCAGAAGTCGGAAATAGGGGCGTTTGCATGATGGCGTCATTTGACTCCCACTACCAATTCGCTTCGCGAATTTTATTTCTTAGTTAAATGTGTATTAAGAATAGTGAGACAATTGGTGTTAAAACTCATCAACCAATAAGTTTGGGCTAGGTACCAGTGCGGGGTCTGGTTACGCAAGTATATYCCCCAGCAAGGAGGTAACCATGGCAACCGGGCCACAACCCAGCACTGGTGCCTGTCACACTGTTAAAACAGTGGAGATAATACTTACCTATGATGACTGAACTTAACCATATAGAGGAGGGAGGGAGGTGCAACTTGTACGATGGCAAGCATGCAAAGATGGCATACAAGCTACAAGCCAGGTAGTGAACATGCCACCCGGAGCAAGGGTGCATGCATAGCGTGGATGGTCTGGTGGCCAATGGTGCTTAAGCTAGAAGGCTTAGTTGTGGTTTTAACTTTGCCTAAATTACATTTAGCCCCATCTAATTAACTGAACAAAAGAAAGTGTGCAAGGTAGTCTGGTAGTAGAGGTCAAAAAAAATTATGCACAACCATTAAACAAAGGAATGATACTGTAGGGAATGGCACATGGTGTGAGATGGAAAAAATACACTCAAGGCAAAGAGGTTTATTTAGTTCTGTTTATTTACATTTTCTTCAATTATAATGAAATGCATAATTAACATCACAGGTCCCCAGGGAGCTGGTGTATGGAGAGTAACTTTAGACGTTCAGAAGGCCGGAGGTCCATTCACAATTACTGCTTCATCTATAGTCAATAGCACAGTTCAAAATGCAAATTTGAAAGATGTCTATTTTGGGGATATTTGGGTGTGTAGTGGTCAGAGTAACATGCAATTCTCTGTATCTCAGGTAAACATACTTTTGTTGATTAAATATATATATGATTTTATGTGCATAAATCATTGTCTTCTTTCTTGCAGAAATCCTCATCTGAAATGTTTTGAAATCTGGTGTAAATAAAACTTTATTTAATGTCAGTGTCCGGGGGAGGGGGGGTACTCTGACAGAATTTGGGTAGGAGTGTTCCGCAGGGATTCTGAAAGGGGTACCCTGTTTAGGATGAAAAAACTCAAATTTGTGGACCCTGTTTATGATAAAAGATATAATTTATTGCACTGAGTTCCTGTTTCAATTATTATGTCGTCTCGCGTATCATTTTTTTATGACCATAATAACCAGTTTCGGTCAACAAGAAAGTAGAATCCCTGAATATGACAGGAAACTCAGGAAGAACTTGGAACTTAGTGAAATAGCACACCCTGTTTATGATAAGAAGCTCGAAAAACCATACCCTGTTCAGCGGATCATCCCGTATAGTCCATATATGGGAGTACCCCACCCCACCCCCCTGGGTGTCAAGGGTACCATGGCAATGCGAATGATAATAAATAAACTTACATTCACTGCTGTGATATATATCCCATTATACTTATATCTATATTTATTGTTCAAAACAATTTAGTTTGAAGCTTAAGATCTCCATCTTGTGTAAATAGTTAGCTATATTCTTGGTCATAAAAAGTTAACCATTACAATGGGTGGTTGTTGACTTGGAAGTTTTAAGTACTTGGACAACCACACACACACCATAAATTTGCTCTTTCCGCTTATAATTATTAATATAGTTTCAAATTTCTTTTCATTATTCATTAATATTACTCCTGTGAATACTTGTATATATTTATGTGTGTGGGAATCAATAAAGATTTGAATGTTAATGTTAATATAAACACTTTTTTATATGTTGGTTTTAGGCTGTCAATCTTACAGAAGCTGCAAAAGAAGCAGACAACTATCCTGAGATAAGACTCTTCACTGCCTACCAAGTTCAGTCAGATACCCCACTCTATGAATTGAGTGTTGTTCAACAACCATGGTCAGTTGCATCATCAGGTAATGAAGATGTAACAACAACAATACAATACCCTTTGTTAGCCCCCATCCCACCTATTCAAAACTATGCTCAGCAGACCCTGAGAGGAACCCTTATTTTATTACTAGCCTCATTTTTAAAATTTTCAGGGAGATGGGGGCATGTCCCTAGTACCCCCCCCCCCCCCCCCCCCCCCCCCTCCATTCAAAACTATGCTCGGCAGTCAATGAGAGGTACTTTTTTTTTATTGTTAGCCTCTGTCAACGGAGGAGCTTGGAAATACTTCTCAGCTGTTTGCTGGTTCTTTGCAAAGAACCTGTATGACCGTTATAAATATCCCCTCGGCATGATTGCAACTGACTGGGGTGGCACAGCTATAGAAGTATGGTCATCCTCAGATGCCCTTGCAACATGTAATATAACAGAAGAAGCACTGCAGCACCAAGAAAGGTAAATTAGTAAATGTAGTTTTTTTATATGTGCTGTGCTTTTGCTGTTCYATTTGTATAATTAAGGTCTGTGGACTTTCTATTCGTTCATGTTTGCACACACACACAGCCCATCCCCTCTACAACCATAGTTAATAGAGGGGAACCTAATACTGTACTTTATACAGGATAATAGTCCTTAATGGGTCTTACAGTCAAATCAGCTCAATCCATGCGTCCTTATCTAGGTTCAGGGATTCAGTTTATTATTGGAAGTTTGATTTCCATTTTGCTTTGAAGTTTGCATTGATGAAACTAACGTTGTAAATTTGAATTATGAGCTTGGTTTAAAAGTTTATTTAGTTCTTCACAGATTCGTGCAAAGCTAAAATTATTTCTACAATTGTAGCTACCATTTTAAAGTTATATGTGTGTTGTTTACAGCTGTACATTGTTTTGTTCAAACGTCCTTTAACAAATGAATATTTTGATGTTTGGGTGTAGAGTGAAGGCATTTAACCCGTGAAATAAAAAATACTAGTCAACGTGTAATAGTCAAATAGACACAAAAGAAAACAATGGAATTAGGGTCTACTTATAGTGTATTAGTCTAACATCTATTTCATGGGTTTAATGACTTCACTCTGCCAGCCGGGATTGCAAGTTTCAAAGATGGAAATCACACATCGAACAATAAACAGAATCTTTGAATGTTGATAGGAGAAAATTAGCTGGTTTGACTGTAAGGGGCTCCTAAGGAGCGTGGAATCGTGAATTGGATTACAGGGAGAACCCTGTAAAATGTGGGAAAGCTTAGAAGGAGATCAAAATACTGACGTCAAATATGGCTTTTTCCCTAGGTTCCTTGCCCCCGAAGAAGAGATTTTTGCCCCAACACCATCCAAGCCATCTGTACTGTACAACGCAATGATTCATCCCTTATTAAACATGACCATATATGGAGCCATATGGTACCAGGGCGAGGCTAATGCTTATGCCCCTGACACCTATAACTGTACCTTTCCCGCCATGATTGATGACTGGCGGCAGAAGTGGTATGACGGCACTGATGGCTACACTGATCCACAGTTTCCCTTCGGATTTGTCCAGGTGAGTAACCATAGAACCTCTATTAAGAACACAACCGACCATTTATTAAACGACAAACCTCTATTAATCGACCAATTTGTCAAAATCCCACCAAAGGATGTTTGCACAAATGTGTACCTCTACTAAGTGGCCAAACTCCACTTTGCAGCCAATAAATATTGATTTTTAATTTATAGCCGGTGGTCGACTGTATATTTTTTCAGCATTTGGGGGAGGTCGTAAATAAAAATTACGCTTGCGCATGAGGATATGGTGGCTCCTATCAAAGATGATGCATTTATATATTTATTAGTTCACAGGTAATAGTAGAGTTACTAGTTAGTTCTCTCCTGTGCTTCTCTGGTTTTTCTCCCTTCGTAAAAAATCAACTTCTAAATAGAACTTTCCTAAGATACAGTCTAGCGTTCAGGAAACTGATTTGCTTGCCAACAGCTTTTTCGAAGTTCTTACTGGACGATAAAACAACCAAAGACGTGAACCGACGTGCCAATAAATCAAAGGATTTTTTGTTTAATTTGCATTCTAACCTTGTGTTATTGAGTTTATTGTTTAATCATGCAATAAAATCTACGTCATGGAATGTGTCACCATACCAGCTTATCTTCTCGGATAAGGACTTAAAACGTAGGCCCCGTCTCCCAACCCTTCCTAACCTACAGTAAATGGGAGACATAAAAGAACCTGTTGAATTATTCGTGTAAGAGTAGGGGATTGTCTCCCGCTTCAACAGCCTATTCCTGTCTGGCATAACACTAATGTACTAACAAATCATTCATGATTGTAAGCTGCACGGCTGCTGCAAGCGCCTTAATACGTAGCCCGTAAAGTCCTCATCTGGTCATAAAATGTAAAGCGCATTGAGACGTTGTATAAATGCGCTTTTCAAGAACCTCCTATTATTATTGTTGTTGTTGTTGTTGTTGTTGTTGTTGTTGTTGTTGTTGTTGTTGTTATATCCCCGATAATATGTAAGCAGGCTTTTGCTTGCCGGCACATATGCATCGGGCCGTATCTTGGAAAAGGTCTATTGTAACTTTGTTCTTTGAACGAGGGTTACCGGCTACTTTGAAAAAGGAACGATTCATCATCAGTTGTAATAAGTTGAGTTCACTTTTCTTTTCTATCTAGCTGTCGAGTTACGGCACCGACCCTAAATTCATCGGTGGATTTCCCGTCATRCGCTGGGCTCAGACAGCCAATTACGGCTATGTGCCTAACTCGCGCATGGGCAATGTGTTCATGGCAGTATCAATGGATTTGGGTAACGCGTCATCCCCCTGGGGTAGCATTCACCCCAACGACAAACAAGATGTCGGATATCGTTTGGCTTTATCTGGTCGTGCCATTGCGTACTCGGATCCCGTATACCATACGGGTCCCCTACCGGTCAGAGTGTCTGCCAATTATAGCCCCATGGAAGGCTGGATGGTCGATGTTTTGTACACCGAAGTTGGACAGGATGGTATTGATATTAGATCGAGAAATGGCTTCGAGGTAAGACATTCATTAAAGTACTATTATAAATAATAATACTGTTATAATGTAGTAATTAACCGCCACCCGGTTGAGCGTCGGTCTGTTGTGCGGAAGGTTCAAGCCTCGGCTGGAACAACACTCAGGGTCTTAAAATAACTGAGGAGAAGGTGCTGCCTTTGTAATTATATCTGCAAATGGTTAGACCTTCAAGTCTTCTCGGATAAGGACTTAAAACCGTAGGCCCCGTGTGTCTTCACTATATAATCTTGTATAAGGCGGACGTAAAACACAAGAGGGCCACAAGTTAATCAGTTACCACGTGTCACCCTCATTAAATAAACTCTTCAGTCAATCAATCAAATAATTAAGATTGACGCGCTGTTATTTAGCCTGTGTACATGCGCTTCACACCCCCAAACGTGGGAGCGGCTGTACACAGGCTAGCTTTGATTGCTTAGATTGTGATTGCATTGTGAATCCCCCCACCCTCTAACAACAGAGGACCGCTGCGCAGGCTGGAGAGACTTGGGCAACAACCCCCTGCGTTTTGGAGGTAAACGTATGTGGGAAAACATGGGTGGCGTAGCGGCGAGAGTGCTCGCCTCTCACCAATGCGACCGGGTTCGAGTCCCTACGAGCTCGGTGTCGTATGTGATTAGAGTTGTTTGTTGGTTCTCTCCTGTGCTTCGAGGGTTTTTCTCCGGGTTCTCCGGTTTTCCTCTCTCCACGCAAATCAACTCCTAAATTCCAATTCGATCTTGGGCTTTCGCCTAGCGTGGTTCTGAGGGTTTCGTTCGTGATTGTTCCACTCTGTGATTACGGAGAAAACTGATAGACATTTTTACAACGTACTCAGACCACAAATTCGATGGAAGGAAGCCTAAAACTCAAGACCTAAAGATGGTTGGTTTAGTATGAAAATGAGTTTAATGACTTATGAATTTGAATGTTTGTGTTTTCGTTTCTTTAGTATTACTGTGAATCTCCCAGTGCGGCTACGTGGGTCGATGCGCAGATCATCAGCAGTTCATTCTACAAGGTCAGCTTGTTTGGCATGTGTCCGGCAGGGACTGGGGACGTGGCGGGAATTCGCTACGCRTGGCGTCAAGATCCTTGTCCATTTAAGGGATGTGCGGTGTACAGCAAAGCTGAGGGACTTCCAGCTGGGCCTTTTGTAAAATATGCTCCATTCTAAGAATTGCTTGAAAAAAAGTCAAACAAAAAATACAAATTAAACAAAAGTGACTCAATTTTATAAATGAAGGAATTAATAGATAGCTTTTTCATGATTTCTATTGATTTTCCAGCTAACGCCCAAATTTTATCGGTCTCACAAACACTCTTTAGTCTTTAGCCTGATCCAAGTCAAAGCATGGCTAAGTTACAGGTTGAATGAGAATTTAGCGTGTTGGGCTTTGCGGCGAGAGGAAAGCCGGGTAACGCAGAGAAAAACGAACGAACTCAACTCTCATGTGGAACTGAGTCCAGGCCAACAGGAGACCACAGATGCCACAGATGTGAGAGAAGAAAGTGGTACCATTACGTCACCCTTGATTCCTATGTCAATTGCTGGACATTTTCTTTTCCGAGATTTGAAACCAAACTGAGAGCAAATTCCTGTATCACAAAGGGTCACTAAGGGAAGGTACTTATTTTATGGTGGGGGAGGGAGGGGGTAGCTTGGGCTTCAGAGGGGAGGGCCATCAGTATTAATTTGAAGGGTCACCGTGCAGCCCTTTAATTTTGACGAAAGTCGTTTTCTTGCAGGACCGTAGCCACTAATAAACAAGGCAATGCAAGTGAGGCAGTTTCCTCTGTAAAATGTCTCAAATTCCTCTCAAAACTCTAAAAATCGCATTTTCGAGGGTCTCCATTTCAAAATTTTCTGGAGGCGTATGCCGTTGAACTTCATTAGTTTCCCCTTCCTTCGCTATTCCTTTGCCTCGGTAGACTATTCGATCTGGATACGGCCCTGCCTCGTTACCAACTTCATTTTCATAAAGTTTACTGTGAATCCCCCACTCCTCCACCTAATAAAAGAACGTACCTTTCCTGCTTGACTTCACTCAGGAACACTACTAAGGCTCAGGTCAAACGTCGTACTTCACATGAGCCGAACCCAATGACATCCAAGAAGACCGCCTTGTTATCCATCAATTTAATTAGGTTTGGCATGTGAAGTTCGACGTTTGACCTTAGCCTAATAAAACTAATTCGAGATGAACATTTCTTTATTGCATGTGTCAATATTCCTCTTTCGAATAAAATGAGTACTTTTATAAAATAAAATGATTTACCTTGATAACTTGTAGTATCCTTTGAGGTCGACTGTCCGAACTTGAAGCTATTAAGGAACGCTTTTATGGAGTTATCTTCATTTTGTTCCAATGACTAAAAGAATGGGAAGGCACGGAACTAAATAAATCCAAGAAAAATAAAGCTATGGCCGTAATTTCACGACAGAGTCTGTAGTCAAGGAACACTGCAGGCGAATGAAAAACGGGACTATTTTTTGATCGATGTGTAAAAATCCATATTAGGATAACTAGCTGTCCACTCCACTTCCACTCCACTCCATTCCACTCCACTCCACTCCGTTCCGCTCCACTCCACTCCGTTCTGTTCCGTTCCGCTCCACTCCGTTGCGTTCCGCTCCACTCCGTTGCGTTCCGCTCCACTCCGTTGCGTTCCGCTCCACTCCGTTGCGTT